GACGGTATGCAAGCACGCCTCTTGTACTTTCTTGCTTTTGAAGCGAAATAAATGCTACTCATTCCAGTTGTCTTGAGCATTTACTAAATTCATTACTAAGATTCGTAAATTACGGGGCTGTTAATGCACGGCTCAAAACCATTGTCTTCGTCTCATATGAATTGCAGCATCCATTTACAACTGCCTCAAATGGGAAGAGGAAGAAATTGTAGAACCGGCTTTTGTCCGCATTAAGCAACAACATGAAATTCAAGGATGATCTAAGTGTTGGCCCTCCCCATCTTCCCTACTGCACAGAATTCTGTGTATCGCGTTCCCAAACTAGTAATAACAGGATTTTGTATTCCAATGTAAACACAATGATTATCCCAGCCGAGTCACTACCCCACTACTTTAGCCGTCGAATCACGCAACATTTTACACCTAGACGACTATGCATTCTTTTCTCGTGTCCCCGTGTATGTGCAGTGCACTCGCGGTGAAGTCGTTCAGAATGGATGGTACACTGACTGAATGTTAAACAAAATTAGGCCTGACATATTCCTGCCAATGTATTTGAAATAAGTAGAAGTAAAGGCCACACTGCGATAACTGAAGCCTCACATTCGACTACGATCTGCGAGCCTGCAACAAAATTTCATAAAACCTAATTTAATTTATTCCCATTCACTCACTTTCATTCTAATTAAGGTCACAGTCATTTATTCATACCAAAACTATTCCTGTCTTGTTAGAATTCATCTCGTTTGGAGGTGTAAATAGGTGCTTTCGTATTACAAGTGAAAACAAATTCGGGTGGGTCCAGAGTCCTGAATGCAATAGGATTTTAGAGGTAGAGATGTGTACCATTAACTTAGCTCAGTTATTCACACCAAGCCTTAACCCTGATCAAAAGGACAATAATATTTCTGTGTTGCAAAGGCTATATGCAACCATCTCATTTTTCCAATATGCTCACATTTACAGCCACGCATGATGTCATCGTTCACAACGATATGTCCGATGTTGCCATTCACTAGGTCATCTGTGGGGACACTTAAGGCTCTGTCAATGCCTCTAGTTGAGGCGTTTTACCAAAGTTTTTATTGTTTACAATTCACTTCTAGTCAATGCCTTCACCTCCTACCCTAGCCCAATTATTTCTGCTGAATTTACTGGCCAAAACTCAAAATGACAAGTCTGAAATGCTTCCAACAGCATAAGAAAGAACAAATACTTCTAGATCTGTGCGTAGCACCTGCTTTGAATTAATATGGTGTAAATACATGAGTAAGCTTCAAGGCTTATCAATTCCGTTCCATCTGAGCCTCCGTTTATCTGGTGATTATGACAGCGGTGCAAGATAAAATAGCAATTTGCAAAACTTTATGTGGGAACAATCATCAATACTATAGCTGCACTAACGATGCACTCTGCTTCACATCAAATTTGTTTGTGATCAAGTACATATGTCGCCGTTCATAACTTTTCTGCTACATGTTCCTCTCCACAGATAAATACTGTCATCTGGCTATAGAGACCGCCTTATGTGTTCTAAAGAGACCACTTTAGCTATACCGCGATAGATCTCACTCCTTTCGATAAGGTATGCGAAAATATTACGTAGTCCAGTTTTTGAGGAATCAACATATACCAACTGTCTATGGATGAGTTTCGAGCTTTTTGGATGCGACATTACTTATGACTTCTGATTAATGAGTCATTCGTTTCCTTGCCATTGGAGAACTGCATGCAAAACAGACGGACGACCTGCAAAGAAGTGGTGAGATAGAGGCGGAGGCGGTTTGGTGTCTTCTTTTTGAGGAGACGGGGTCTGCTAAAGGCAAAATTCTCGAGCTTGTCTAGCTGAATTCTCTCAATAAAGCAAGTGCTTTAAGGAAGCTTTTTACAGTCCTTTGTTTCCTTCAACAGCTTCAAGAGCCTTATTACTTACCTTGCGTCAATCGAATCGCCTGTTTAATAGCAAATATTAGAAGTAAAATGAGTTTTGTTTCCTATGATTAGCTTCATTTTAAGAGCAAGCGAAATTAGAAACTCCGACCGCATACATGCGAGGAAAGTGGCGCAGTTGATTAATGCAGAGGCCAATATCGCCGTCCTTTAGCTAGTTATTGATGCTCAAGTCAAGTGGATGATCTGAGCTAAGACTAGACACTAGAAGGCAAGCATAGTGGCAAATATCGGGTTCATCTCAAATTAAGGCATCAAGGTCTAACGCCTCTCCTACTCAACCACAGTGCAAAGTTAAGAAGCTCTAGAGGTCTATTTGAGTGCATCGAAAGGGGTAAAGGGCATGTCGAGCAATGCTCACTGGCAGATAAGTCGACCAGTACATGTCACCTGCCGGTGCAGACACATTTCATCGGGATGACAGGCAAGAATTGTAGTGAGTGCATGCACACAGCAGCGTGTGAAGAGTGATGAATTAAGCCTACCACGAAAGAAGGCGTTGAACACGAACCTGCAATATCCGCTTTTCTCACTCAGGCGCTTGGTCGCTCAGTAGTAAGACAGTGGAATGATGTATGAGCGTCAAAGATGACCTTATGTCTGTACGTCGGTGTCGAGCCGTGCTGTGAAGTTTTTGCATTACCAGCTCACAGTCTCGACAGTCATTTTTGTGAACATTTGAGCGTCACGTAGAATGCCTCCTCTTTCATGCAGGATTAATGAGCGATCCGTTGTGGGTTGATGGTTTGCCAGAGATAGATTGTTCTGTGAATATGACAGGGGCGTATGTGTCGGCAGCGCTGTAGGATTTTAAGAGACCCATCCACGTTGACATGATTGATGCATGGTGGGTGATCACTACGACTTCAGAGGTAGCCATATAGAATTTGTCAACCCCTTCACTTAAAAAATTATCTACTTATGGTATAAAGGTGTGTGTTCTCGTTCCTGATTCTGCTCTATCTAGAGGGTCGGGGAGATTTACGAATTTCCGTCGCTAAATGTCGGCTCACCCCTATAACGTTCAGTGGGCTAGAGCATGTTTGACTCTAACCAGAGATTTAAATGAAACCCTCTACCATTCACATCCATTTACTTTTGTTTCACAATCTCCTTCTGTGTTTGTAATTACTCTCACAGACATTTTTGCCTCAAAATTATACCAGAGACACAAAAATTGCGTAAATTTGGTAAAAGGGATCCCATGATATCACTACAGCTTTACTACAGATCGTGAAGAACACTACGTAGAAAGTCAAAGAACTAATATTTAGGTATTGCTGTAAGTTTTACCTATGCTAAGCGGTCACCTTACCATAATAAAAATTGCAGAAATACACCATGGATCTCTCCTAGCCGTTGAAGTAGATAAGGGTACGTCTGAAGCACATTGTAACAATTTTATATGCATGCAAATCAAATCAGCAAAAGTATGTTCTTTTTAATAGTAAATTTCAACTTTTTGATTTTTAAAGAGAAAGGCAATTTGTTCACAAGCCTGCCAAGTTCGCTCTACCTTGTTTGGGATGGTATCCCGAGTATTCTATGTTGGGTATCAATAAACCGCCCATGCTGAACGAAACGAGCTAAAACTCTTACGTATTTCATATCATCATTGAATCGATATTTTTTTATTTTTGCAGGAGAAATGCTTTAATAATAAACAGGTCTAGTTTCACCTG